AAACCACACAAGAACAGCGAATCCATTAAGTCTCTTATGGGAAAGGTGATATTGCCCAGCAGCTATTTTTCAAGAGGCAGAAAAAACTGTTTGTGCCTCTATAGCTCCATTCTGGAGGAAGTTTGCTTACCTAGAAAGGGGAATGATGGGAGGGGGGGTGGAAGAGGAGGAAGTATGTCATGAAGAAGGAACTAGCAAGGCAGCTGTCCCTTTACCTTGGTGGCCCAAAATGTTGTCTCTCCCACTCAGAAGACCTCCATGTCCAGATTCCAAGCCATGATGTCCGTGCTTCTTCCATACCTGGTATTAGTGCATTCTTGGGTTTGTGCTGTGGGAAAAAGCAAGAGCAATGGGGAAATGGTCCAGAAGGTGTTAGCTAGGATTAACTCCTCAAGAATCACAGTGGGAGCATCTCCCAGAGAGACCTGTCACAGCATTACAAAGGGGGGTTGCTGATACCAATGCCAAAGAATAAAAAAAAACAAACTAACTGGAAATAGACCAAGTATCCAGAGCACTGCATTAAAAGTGCAATGAATGCAGCTGCTTCTGAAATGCAATATTCAATAAACAAGCATCCAGGTGATTGCAGTGCAGCATTAACCAGATGCAGTCAGGAGCACAGAACTAGAGGCTCGAGTGTTTCTAACTATTTTGAAACAAGGATCTTCACTAGATTTTTTTTAAATGCATTTCATAGCAAAGTGTCAAGACATGTTAATTAGTGCTAAAACCAGTTCTGCATATAATAGTTCAGTATAAATCCAAAACTCAAGCTGGGCATTACTTTCAAAACTTACAACACTAGGAGGGATAGTTATGCAAATATAGACCAAAGAGCAATATGCTGCTGCTGAGACACAGATAAAAGACATCCAGAGATACAGACTCTGTTTTAGTCCCTCCCCCCTGTAAGAGACAGAGAAGGGTGAGAGAAAACAGGAGATGGTGTAATGTGTTATAACATGGGTGGCACTGAAGGCATCTCCCATGTGCAATTTTGAAGTTTGCCTTCCACTTGCAGTGCTATAACTGCTCACTTACATACCTAGAGGCTGCTGTGGCAATGTCTTTACCCTGGCATTCCAAGTGTTATTATCCTCAGGGCCTTGCAATGGTGGATAGGGAAACGCCTGTGTAATAATTTGGGGATCTTGTGTGTCATTAATTTGTGAATCACCCTTTTCTCCTATCTCACTGCCCTTTCCTTTGTTGTCTTTAGTTTATAACTTCAGAGCCTAGTATAGAGTAGATAATTCGCATTCAGATAGATGCTATCCAATACTGTACATGTACAAATTTAATCAGTGCTGAAAGCAGAAGTGAAAACAGCCCATAGATTTTGAGCAGGCCCTGATGAAAAACACAGTTCCTGCAGGGGAGAACATTAAGGGCTTGGGGATTGCACTGGAAAGAAGCCTAGAAGCAGATGCCTGCATGGGGATTCCCAGCTGACATCTGAGCTACCACCCAAGCGTTCAAGGATGGAAGAACAACTCCAGCCTTTGTCATGTGCTGGAATCCAAGGACCAGGGTCCTGGGGCTTAACTCCTCATCAATCTCGGTTTCACTTCAGCCATCTCTACAACCTGGATGTAAAGACTTGCTAAAATTCTTGTGTCAGTAATAAGTTAGGCAGTAATTTCAAAGATACATTGCTTACACAGAGTCATGCTTGCAATGGGTCACAGCAAGTACTGAATCAAAGCTTCCCTTGCCCAGCTCCACACACCCACCAGATAGGCACTAAATGCAAAACTCAATACAGAAAATAGGCAGCCACATTAAAATCAAGCCCAAACTCTTCCTTCTGCACCTCCTTATGTCATTCCCCCCAGCCCTTTACTGTCTCTTTCTAATCACAAAGACATACTAATGGTCTTGGGCAATTTGAGTCGTGGAGGATACAGATCTTACATAAGAGATTAACCCTTACCCATACCTCTCCTTTATACCAAGCAGTTCCCACCTCTAGCACTTCATTGTACCCTGTTTGTGGTGCAGATGGATGAATCATCATCCTGGGAAATCAACTCCCCTGCCACCTCCTTAACCTTTAAGTGTTTGACTCATTTCAAACGTATATGCAGACTCAAGAATTGCACTGCCTCCTCACTAGACCACACTGATGCTTCCAGGGCCCAGAAAAGGCATGCAAGGCAATAAGGACAATGCCACAAGCATAGGAACACATCTGACAGAAAAAAAGAGAGACAATAGCCCAAGAGAGACAACATTTATGACGTAAGGGGGTGGGGTTGTCCCAGTAGGACCTCCTGGTGATGACTGAACTCTTTTGTGGCTACAGTATGCACCTGGTTGCCCAGACTTAATAATGGCTTACAGGTTAGAGGCAGGCAATGGAAACAGCTACCAGCTCCATACCCCCTCTACACCCTGTTATGTCTAAAAGACATGCCCCAGAAACAAATTAACATAGGGACTATCCATCATACTCCCTCAAGGAGAGACCTGAGGCACACTGGATGTTCTGTGGGGAAAGGTATAGACAAGCTGGGAGTGGGATAGCTCCTATTATAGCAACCTGTGCTTGTTACTACCAATTAAATAAAAGGGTAGCTGAGCCTCGTATCTTGTATTTCAGAGCACATCAGCCTATCCTGCTCCCTACTAGGAAGAACACACTTCCTAGCCTGGTTTCTAACTTTTTTTTTTGTTGTTGTTAATAATACTGTTGTCTCCCAAGCTGTGCATTCCTGCTTCTCTTTCCATCTTCTCTCTTTGAGAATGAAAGCAAGGACAGGTCACTTGCCTTTTTATATGGGCATCTCTCTGAGCATCTCAGAGAAAGAGAGAGAGAAAAGGAAACCAAAACCCACAAAACAAAATGAGAGAACATGCTAATTGGAAGTGTTTTGTTTTTGCCAGGATTTTAACTTTAGAGAGTGCCTCACAAATATTCTCTCAGGGTCCGCTGCTGAACAGCTTTATTCTGCCTCAGGCAGGCTTTCATGGTGCAGCACAATAGCTTTTGTTTCAAAAGTATAGGGCAATGAGGACCTTGAATGCCAGAGGTCTGTATTATATCCATAACTGTAGATTTGGATGGTGGAATGGAGGTTGGGGGAAGGTGAGAATGAAAAATTTCTCCATTGTATAGATGGAGTCCTTCCAGCAAACACTGGCACAATAGCAAGCACATCCTTAAGAGCTGAAGCAGACTCTGGATAAAGACTCACTCATTTTGTACATAATGGTCCCTGTGCTTTAACCTTGTACAGCTACTATGACACCTGTTTTTCAGAGCCATTGTCAAAGAACAAGCAGAGCTTTGTCTGCTGTATGCATTCTGAGCCACACATGTTAACATTTCTCTTTTTGTATTTACTTTTGTTTCCCCACCTTCTCTTCCCCCCTTTTTTTTTCTTTTTTAAACATAACAGTTATGAATGAATGGCTGAAAACTAATTTCAGCCTTGATTTCAACACCACTGTGTCCAGTCGGAGAGTCCCAACTTAGTGTGATGCAGAATAAAGAGCAGATATTAGACAAGGGAGTACTATTCTCCTTTTCTATCAACCCATCAAGTCTTTGTGTCTCTGCTTCCCACTCTTTTCCCCCCTTTTCCACCTCTCTGGCTCTGGTTTCAAAGGACAGGCAGAACCCATCAGCTCATCTCCCCTCCAGCAGAAATAGCAGGAGGACTCAAGGGCACTGTCTCATTCACTGCTGCAACTCACTGGGATGCACCTGGGATGGACACTGGAAAGTCCAGGTCACCAGTGCTCATGGTGGGATGGGAAAGATTTAGGGTACCATAGTCCTCAAGCAGCTTTTTCTTGTGAAAGGATACAACCAAAGACAAGAGCAAAGAAAACCTGCAGCACACAGGACCTCTTGTCTTCCTTTCACTTTGCGATCTGCAGTGGAAGTAAAGCAAAGACACTGTGCCCTTCTCAATTACCTTAAAGCCCCCCCATTTCCAAGTTTTCTTAGCCAAGTAGATGCTGGCTACAGGGGAGAGTTGGAATAAACTAAACTGGTACTGATCTATCAAGGACTAAATGAATGATGACTCTGGCCAATGGAACAGCTAAAATCCAGGCCCCAAGATCCGACTGTGAATCATATATGACAAGGTTATTGATGATGTCCACTCCATGGAAATATCTGTGAAGCAGTGAGTAATCTTCTGATGCTTCACCCCATGCGTTGATGCCCTCTATGTCATATCATCTCTACAGGGAGGAGGTTCTACTTAATTTTGTTCAGTGAGTAGAATCAGGACCAATAGTAGCAAACAGTCTGGGTTTGCTTCTTCTCCAACCAGCACAGGCTGCAGCTTTGGCAGAGGCTTAAAGCTGTGGCAGTGCTGTTAAATATATCCTTTTACAAACACACACCCCAAAACATCAGAGGAGGATACAATGGCTAGAGGTGAAAACAAGTGATCTGCTCACATGAGGTTGGTTATTCCAAGCATATAGCATTGCCCCTGAGCAGTACAAGTTAACACAACCAAGGTGCAACAAAACCCTTAATAACCACCACCATTAAAATTGGCTGGGCTTTATGCTTGCATTTGTTTTTGTGGCTTGGGAGGTTTCCTTTGGTTTGTGGCTACAAAGTCAGCTCTGCTCATAGGCAGATTTTGAGGGCTACTGGGAAACCTCTCCTCCTCAACTAACCTCCCTTCCCAGAGCATGAATACAGTTCCTGCCGAAAGGGTGGAGAGAATCCCCAGTGCCTAGAGTCTTCATCAGATTCAGCCCCTTTCTGACACTGGTATCACCATGGCATGAGAGACATTAATGACAGTGAGAAGTGTGGGGTAGGAGCGGTTCCCAAGTCCCAGACGCTAGACATGTATTTTCCTTTTTTCAAAATAAAAACGGGGGAAAAAAGCCCACAATATGAAATTAAAGTCAAGAGGCTGATTTCAGAAATCCCTATATGAGTTTCAGATTCCCATAAGAATAACTCAGACTTATTTGTTTCATGCTTGCTTTCATTTCTAATTATTGATGGGAAGTACCTACCACGTTCACTTGATTTTTAGCATGTTCATACTTGTTGGGGAAGGAAAAAAATCCCATGGATATACCCAGATGACATCCACTGTCTTCAGAATATGAGCAGCTGGCAGGATGGCAGGCAAAAAAGAGGGGCTGGCTGGAGTAGGGCTAAACACCAAGCTTCTGCTGGGCACAAATCTTGGGTGCTAGGAGAGATTAATTGGTACAGAATCTGCCTCAGGACTATGTTTATCAGAGCTGCTGCCCAAGATGGGAAACTTACCCAGGACTCTAACGAGATCAATATTATTTCTGAAACCATCACATCCTTTATTGACCTGAATTGAGGTGTTATTTCTTTTTTAAGTATGCTTCTCATTCAGCTGGTTTGGCATGCATCTTGGACATAGGCATCTTTTAAGTCCAGACATTGGGAGCTGAATAAAAAATAGTTCAATGAGAATGGTGAGAAAGTATACCACAAGTGTTAAAAACAAGTCTCAAGGTTCTTATGCCAGCCTCCTGAATTAAGCACTCTAACTCTTAGCAAGGGGTGCATCGGACTGCTGTGCTGCACAAGTCCTTCCCAAGCACGTTGGAAGGAAGGTGTGAATCCCAGCAGGCTGAATCTAATAATGTCTGTAGACGTAAGAATGTTTCTTCAATTTAAAAAAAGGCAAAGAAATAAACAGAATAGGTGCAACTTGCACATTTAATACTCAGTCCTCTTTCATGTCAGATCCCCCAAGATCAGTTCACGCCTCCATATCTAGGCTGTTAATAGAGCATGAGACAATTCGGGCACTGAGCCATCAGAAGCATAATCCTGCCATTTGAAAGCACATAAAGGCACTTCATAGCAGCAAGTGTCAATAGCCACTCCCCTATTGATATAACATCCATTCCCTCCTCCATAAACTCCATCTGACAAAGAAAACAAACCAGGGTTATATGAAATCTAACCCCAGCATAGATATAAAAATGATGCTTCATTAAAAAAAAACAAAGTTACTTTTAATCTGCTAATTTATGCTCAGGTCCCTGCCTCTTGTATAGGAAGTGTGTGCATGGAACAATTCTGATTAGGACGGAGGGGAAAAGCACAATTGTCCTCCACCACATAAGCTGCTGAGAGACCTGTCAGACAAAAGATAAAAGATCTTGTTGAAAGGGGAAGAAGCAAATGCTGAAGGAGCCCTTAATCCATAGTCTCACTGAATTGGACATCCCTGCAGCCCATGCATTTTTTGCATCCCCGAGTCACTTGGGGACAGCAGCAAAGCAGAAAAGGAACATGGATCAGAGATGTGCTGCCAGAGGACTTGACTTCAAAAGGGAACCAAAACCCATCTTGCTGCAGCCACAAAGCTTGTACTGGGGCTTGCTGTAGCCACAGCTGGGACCCAGGCAGTGCTCAGACTACTGAATCTGCCTCTCAAAGTCTAGCACCCTGCTGCATGAGTAAAGGCAACACAGGCATTGCAGCAGGGCTTCCTGCAGCACCAAGCTCTTGTCTGTCAGACAAAGGCACCAAAACACATCACTGTCTCTTTCAAAATGCTCTGCAGCTATCCTGAAAGATTCCACATCTATGCTTCTCTTGAGGAACAAGGAATGACAGGTGGAATGTAGATCTGAAAACCCCTAAGGAGTCATCAAGGAAGAATTTAGGCACCTTCATCAAGAAACAGACCACAAAAGCTATCCTTTGGCAGCTGAGTGCCTGCTAGAATCTAAGCATCTAAATCCCTGCTAAAGCACACATGCAGAAGTGCTGCTATTATGCAAGGGCTGGCCAATCAGTCAGTGAGAAGTATCTGTGCCAATTTCTAAGAGTCTCTCAGGAGAAGGTCTAACCTACTGAACATCCCTTTCTTCCCCAGTCCCATCAGAGCAGTATAAAAGTGCATCTTCCACAGTGCCCAGTTAACCATGCCCAGCAATATGTCTGAAATGTGAATACCAGCTTCAGAGGAGGTCCTTATACTGTGCTACAGGAAAATGCTTCCACCAGAAGCCCCACTTTAGGCATTTCCTAGGCTTTCTCTGCTGTCACACAACTCCATGCACTGGCTGCCGGGGCTCTCTGTTGGCTCTCAGTTGTCACACTCCACTTGAGAGAAGACTAATCCACCCATATTAAGCTCATGAAGCCCATTGTTAGACCCACATCTAACATGGAGCATCACCAAATCTGTTCTGGTCTCTGGATCTGGGACTGTGATTTGAGAGAAGAGTCCAGACTACTAAAACTTACAAATTTCCTCCCAAAAAATCGTTTCAGGAGTTAAAGCCCCCTCCTACCCAACATCCTAGACTCCTGGAAGTTTTTCAGAAGTTTTTCCCTTTGTTTCTAGTAGCTGGTGTTTTGAGGAGTTTCTGGTACCAATCACTCCCAGAAAGTTATTTGGTCAATAGAGCATCCTGAAAGGAAAAGCACAGAATAAGTGAATTACTGTAGAACTGGCAAAAGGCACCTTTGCTGTCCTGATGGGGCACAAGGATGTCCTTCACTTGCATGGAAGCAACCAGGAGATGCAAAAAGAGACCTTCAGAGGCCAGAGATGGGGTGAAGCAGAGGTGACTTGGCTGTGTCCAGTTTTTGCATCAGTCAAATGAAAAATGATTTGCAAAAAGAATGACCCTGATTGGTTAATGAGCATCTCTCAATTTACAGCAGCAAAATGTTGGGTGCCATCAAATGCAACCAGAAGTTAAAGCTACGACTGCTTTAATAATCACTGACTGCAGAGTATTTAAAAAAACAGCTAAGCTTTCAGGGGCTTAAGACTTATTGCTTGCATTTTCTCAGCTTTCTTAAAGAAAAAAGGGGTGTTGTGGAAAATGGTCAAATTTATCATTTATAGCAAAATATTAATGTAGCAGCAGGAGACTTGATGTGGCCATCTATCTACAAGCATTCAGACTTCAAAGGAAGCATAAACAGGAAATTAATGGTTTGTCTAGTGTAAAGGAAAAATAAATGCAAATGTAGCCTCATTAATACCAAGTGGGTGACTTCTTGGTTTATGGGGTTTGGATTGATTTTGTCAAAGGCCAATAGATTTATTAAAAATGTCTTTTAAATTTAGCATCCCTATACCCATTAGTTGAAAGGAATAAAATTCTCTGCAATTGCCACCACCTCTCCTCCTCCTCTTCTCCCCTCTCTCTGGATGTTGTTTTACCTAAATAAAGTTCTTGCATTAGGACTCACTTTCATACTGAAATATGTCTCTTGTAGGAGCTGCTATAAACGTCAGCATTTTCCACAGCATTAGTTTATGGGCAGAGTGAATTTTAATGGCATCGTAATCTCACTGCAATCAATTGTGGTACATGGGAGGGGAAACCTTAGGGAGTGTCCATTAACCAGAGCTCTGCATCACTCCAGTGCTCAGGAGCTTTCAAAGAGTGCTTGGAGGGTTATTTTTTTCCTTTTCTTTTTAATACCTATTCACAAAATGTTTGTTCGTGGCTGGTTCAAAGTGGGATGGAGGACCCTCACTTCTCAGGATGCACTTTCTGGCTGGCGTATCTAACTTCCACCCTCTGCCACTCCTCTAACCTACCAGACCAAGATGGGATGCTTTCCAGATGTCACATAGACAATGATGACAGCTGGTGGCTGCATAATCATGGTCCACAGGCTGGTTTGTTGGTTTACCCAATTTAACATTCAGGGATCTGAAAATAAATCTACCATTTGGCATGATAGTGACTGAGCTGATTTAACCCCTTCGATGTAACTGTCCCAACACACAACCACCTCTTGCCACAACAGGGCACTTGCTCAAAACCAGAGGACAGCAAAATGTTCTTGTGCATCTCAGGCCCTCAAACACACAGTTACCAAAACAGCAAACAGAAAAGTATATGTGGGAGAACACATTCTGAGCATCTGAGAACAACAAAGCAAAGGAATAGCCTGAGCTTGCATATGTAAGAAGCTTTTTCCTACGTCTTCTGGCCTGCTGAAGCCAACAATACTCTGCACCAGGTTTCCAAAATGACAGTAAAGAAGCCACTCCATCATGGAGCACAGTTGTAGGATCACATCCTCTCTGAGGCAAACACTTAACCTAGCATGTGGCAAGGTTAACTGATGCATAACATGGAGGTTTCATTAGGAAAATAGAATACAACCTTATATTCACATACCATGCATTTTTGGGCTGCTGCGGGACTCAAGGACACAATTCCCCACTCCAAAAAATCATTGGGAAGTTGTCCTGAAACACAGTTCTTTGGTTAAATTTAATTTGTTCATGCCCTTTTAAAGAAAGAGCTTGTAGAGATGTTCCTGAATTCCCACATCTGTATGGGAAAATGGTACAATATTATGGGACAGAAAAAAAATGGAGAGAAACAAGAGATCTGGGCTCCAAGAATGTGCTTGGTAAAGTAAAAGATGAGATGAGGGAAATACAGCAACTAAGAGAAAACAGACTTAAACTACAAAGAGGCCTGAAAATGGCAAGTTTGAAAATGCCGTTAACAGATGGGAATGTAATGCAAGGGAGGCATATATTCAAAAGACTAATTTTCTTCATTAACAACAATTGGGGATGTTCAAGATAAACTTACTGTAAAGTTCACAAGCAAAAACCACAACAGCTACATGAGGAGCATCCTTTCTCATATCTAGGTTATATCTGTAACTCTAGTCTAATTCTTTAAGCAGACTACAAAAATTTGGAAGCATACCATGATTCTTTAAATGATCACACTCACCACACAGAAAAATGTAATTCAATTTATACGTTCCTGAAAATGTCTAAAGAAATTAAGACATTGGATTTCCTAGGAATTTTAGTTTCACATATACTTCAATACTAGCATAAAGATTAAAAGGGGATCCATTATCTTTTATCGTAGGACAAAATACCATTTAGGTGCAGTGATTTGTTCTGTCATTCTTGACAATTCTAGATTTCCTCTCTCAGCTGCAGATTTTCATTTCAACTAGAAAAAGAATCCAGAATACGAGCAGATGCTTTGCTGTTTAGTTCTGAAGGTCTGTACTGCAGGAAGTAATCACATGGAGTACAGCTAGAGAGCCCACGAACCAGATTCACCACTCATACTGCAGGATCAGCTACACACATGAAGTGTGTTTGAAGCATGTTGTTGCACACAGGTAACCACAGAAACCGGGCAACAAATGTGGCCATTCCCCATTAAAACTTTCAAAAAGAAAAAGTATATGTAAATGCATTTATTCCAAGAAAAATATCAAGGCTTCCATTTATGGACTTTTATTAAAAACAGAAATGTTTTTAGTACAGTGGAGCCCCAGACTATCTGCAGCCTACCTGGTAAAAACTCCCATGCTGTAGACCCCTGTTTTTCACTGTTTGGTATTTAAATTCCTATTAAAAGTGACCCCATCTGCCATCACTATCAATGCATAAATCTCCAGGCTGACAGCGATTAG